CATAGTTTCGCCCTGTATAATTCTATAGGTAACAGTCTTCCCAGAACAGTCATTTTTCTTCCTTCTGTGACTAGTAGGCCACCCTCTCTGATTTAAAATTTCTCAGGCACAGGTTTGATCTTTGTGTCCACCACTCTAGGACTTGAAGGCAAGTTCTCCAAGTGAACATACCACAAGCCCTCCTTCTTTATCCAAAGGAATTCTCTCTCCTCATTCCTTTAACTTCAACTGTCTTGACAACCTAAGGGGTTCAGGATTCCAGAATTGGCCTTCATGCACTGTCTTTACAAAGTTCTGTGTAGATGACCTAGAAAATCATTTGTGAACATCATTTGATGCCTGTTGCTTTGTTCTCGGCCTTGAGGGGTCTTAGCCAAAATTGACACAAAGTCCTTTTCCACTATCCATCAGAATATAAAATAGTACTATTAGTATTAAATGATATGAAAAATAAATAAATGAGGACAGATAAGGGATGCTATCATTAATAGAAAAAGGTAAATATAATTTCATTCTGAAACTTTTTTTTTCACTAACATATTGTCTTGATTTATCCATACAGATACATATAAATCCACTTAAATATATTTTAATAGCATTAAATAGCTTTCCAGTGTTTTTATATACAAATGTCTTAGAATTTTAAAGTCAATTCCCCTAATGAATATTTAGGAATTTCCCCCTTCATATTTTTCCTATTATAAACACTGCTTCAATGAACTTGATGAATATGTCCATTTACTTTCAAGCAGATGAATACACAGTTTCAAATTTTACTTGAAACTTGACTTTCAAGTTTTCTGGGTAACTATGCTTTAAATAGCCTAGATCTATTTTATTTTGTTCCCCAATACCCACTGAATCCGAGACTCTCTCTCTTTTAATAGGCAATTTTCATTCATTTGTATTTATTATGATTACTGATATAAACTCAACATTCTTCCTCTTTTTCCCCACTTCTTTCTTATCTTCTATTTAACAACCTGAGTTTTCTTTAATCCCATTTTTCTTTATGGTTTGGAAGCTGTATATTCGATTTCTATTATTTCAATATTTACCCTACAATTTTTAAAATGTATGTTTAATGACATCTATACCAGTATCCTCCTTAAAAGTCTCTACTTCAGAAACTCCTATTAGAAATAGACATGACTTCTTTCTTTCTCCTTCATATCTCTTAACATTTCTATTTCTCTTTCTTTCTCTAGGATGCATTCTAAATTATTTCCTCAGATTTTGCCTTCAATTCACTATCTCTAGCTATGGCTTGTCTACTTTTAACCCGTTTAATAATGTTTCTGTGTCAATACATATATTTTTTTCATTGGACAAGTTCTGCTTTTGTTTTTTTTTCCTTTACCTCTATCTGCCTTCTTTTCATACTATCCCATTCTTTTGTTATAGTTTCTATTTCTTTAATTCTGTGAAATTTAAAACATATTTAAAGTCCCTTTCATCGTTTTCTTATCTCCAATTCTTGAAGTTTAAGTTCTATTCCTTATCTGTTCATTTTCCCTCCCAGTAATTTATTTTCCTATACAGTTTATAATTTTTTAACATAGTTCATCTTTAATGGAGATTATTTTCCATTGGAGTCCTGTGGGCCCTACATTGTTAGGTATCTTAATAGGGAAATCTCATATTTATCTTTGCCAAGTTTGATCTTTGGCTTTACCTGGTTCTGGACCATTTTTATTTTAATTTTTTTCAGTTTTGCAGATAGTATGACTGTAAACTATATATCTAACTACACAGAAATAAGTGAGAGATTCTAATTTATTATCGTCAACTCTTTCTACCCCAAACCACAAAAAGGTCACAACTTTCATGCTGTTTCCTTGGAATAGTGGATAGAATTTTTCTAGTTCATTTTCCACAAACACAGTAGCCCTGCTTTGGCTCTCAGCTACATCTGGGGGTATTAGCCTGAAGCCTTATCTGCTGTCCCCCTACTGGCCCTAGAACCCCCAACCCCTAAGCATTATATCTAGTTTCTATAGAACCAGTCAGCTTCAGCCCCCATTTAGAGCTCTGGGTTTGAGTTTCCTCTGTCTTCCTGGCACCCGCAGATTTTTTTCTCTGTGGTGGTGATTTTTATTCATTAGTTCTTCATGGCTGGAATAAGGTTAAGTATTCCATATCAGAACACCCCAGCATTTAAAACTACAAAAGACCAAATTCTTCAGCATGGCATAAAGGTCTTACACAACTTGGCTCCTAACATCTTTTTCAACTTTATCATTTGCTCCAGATACACAAAACTATTTGACGCCACCTAAATGAATTATAGTATTTCACGGTGTATTCAACTACAGATAAACATTTATTTTTTAAGACTCTCTTCAAGCATCACCTCCTCTATGAAGTCTTTTTTGCCATTCTCCTACCACATTTTTCCTCACTCCATTTTGAATGCTTGGGAATCTGCACAGATTTCTATTACCACATCTATGCTTTCTGCATGTACTAATCTATAGGTTATCTTCCCCAATAGACTATGAGCAACTTGAGAGCTGAAACAATTTATGCATCTCTATCCCTAGTATAATTGAAGAAAGCTATTTCCATCCCCACAAACTAAGTAGTTTTTAGTACTACAGCTTTCAAATCTGAAATTTTAGGACAGAAATAGAAAAATATAAGAGACAGTCCAGAGAGAAGAATTCCGTATGCATCGAAGAATGTTTCCTTATTTCTATCCAAATATGGGCCCCAAAAGACATTGTAAGTCCTTATCAGAATGATTTACAGTAACAAGGGAAGTGGACACAAAATACTAACAGGAAAGTTACAATGAGTAATGGAAGGAAGAAGTGCTCTCCAAAATGCCATCTGGTCTAACAGTGTGGATGGCTGAAATATCAGGTTTGAAAAAACCAATTAGGGAAAATGATTACTTCCTAGGTGATAAGGAGACTTAAACTTCATAATGTTTTACGTGAAATGGTAAAATGTCTTTTCCATTATAAATAGAATTACTCAGTACCGTTTTACGTGTTTGAAGTTTTTAAAGATTCTTCAAATGAGAGGGTCTGAATTTTAAGTCTCCTTATACCTAATCTGAGTCCAGTAAGCCTATGGAATATCTGGAAGAGGAGTTCATCTGAGTGTAAGTCAAGTACTCAGAATGCCACACTGCTCTCATGGTCCTCCGCTTATTTTCTCTTGCCCCAGATCCTACTCTCACCTTCAGAGAACTAGGCTAGAGGTACAAGTTTGGCAGTCGTCAACAGAGAAAGTCTAAGTTAAATAAGGTCACAATGGTTAAAAACATAAAATGAGACAAACTTCAGGGGGCACAAACATTAGGAGTCTATTGGAGGAAAGAGAGGAACCAGTATAGGAAACGGAGCAGAAAAAAAGAAATGTAGGAGAGGTTCAAGAAGCAGGCTTTTAAATTTTGTTTTTAGTGAAATAATAATTACTTTACCATTAATTGGGTACCTGTGTTCACTTATTCATTGCTGGTTATATATCCTGTATCTATTCCTTGCATCTTACTTGCTAACATAAGTCAGACTGAACTCATAGGTTATAAAAATTAAAACAGTCACTATCCTAGGCTCAGCTGTAGCTAAAAAGGTCATTTGATATAGGTCTGGCCAATAAAATATGTGAGTACAGCATCATGACCCAGCCTGAATTTATACAGGATACACAGAATCATTTGGTACTTTAATAATCCTAATAAATACAAAAAATTTACAAGAAAAGGATAATAAAGACAGCTTGTGTTATCAGTTGGCAAAACATAAGGGAAAGCCAAAGTAAATTAAAAGAATATAGCAGAGGTACAGGGGTTAATAAATAGAAGTCTGCACAGGGCTTGGTAAAGCAAATTAGGAGTGGTCAGGAACACTCTGGGTAGGATGCATACATAGCATGAAATAAGTGCACAAAACTATTCCACATTGTCTTGCTATTAGTCCTTTGCCCATTTTCCCTAGTCCCAGATCCCCTCTCACCTTCAGAGATTCAATCGTGGCCTGCTTGTAAATCTTTCCTCCAGGATCTTTCTTCTGAGGACTATTCTGGATTCTAGGTGTTCGAATCACGAACTTATCCATTGCTAGAAAACTCCAACTGCCTTCACGGTGCTTGCGATCTGATCTGCTCAAGAAAGAGGGCAGATTCTAAAAGGTCATCAAAACTGCTATGAAGTGTATTCCCTACATTGACACGATTGGCTTTTACAAACTCTGGAAGTATGCCTGAATTATGCGGAAAGTACAGGAAGGAAGATTTCCTCTTGAAAAATCTTTCTAAGAACTGAAACTGTATACAAAGATCGGCCTATATCCTAAATTGGGACATGCCTAGCTTTCAGAAGTAGGCGCTGTGTAGGGGATTTCAATTTTGGGCCAGGCTTTGAACCTGATGATTTCTAAAGTCTCTTCCAACTTAGGATGAGTTATGGCAGGGTTAAGGTTCCACTGGATTCAATGAAGCCCGCTGAACAAATTCACTCCAGCATAGCCACAATCACAAGGGTTCCCGTAGTAACCAAGAACCAACTCCAGATCTCAGTCACCTGGAGCAGTCACCTGCGTGGTGGTTAGAGGACCCTAACCACGACAGTCGTGTTCTGGACCCCCACCCCAGTAAAGGGAAACACCATCTTCCTCTGCCCACAGAACGCAGGAGTCTGGAAAGCGGTACCTAACAACAATGTGGCGTGTGATCCACCAGGAAAGCAAGCCTGTCAGCAGCTGGGCACCTCCAGAGTGTACCCTCTGAGGACACCACGCTCGAACCTAGGGCGTCGGAACTAAACGGACGCCCCCTTCCTGGGTGATAATTTCTCGAACTAGGCAGAGAGCCTGGGGAGCCCAACAAACCACACTCCCCAGAATGCACTGCAAAGGAAGGGGCAGAAGGGTGCGCCCACAGTGGCTGTAGTTCTCCGAGACCAGATTTTCCGAAGGCACAGTGCATGTCTGACACAAGAAAAACTACATGCCCCAGCGTGCCCCGCGAAGAGAAGCGATGCCGGAAGTGTGCGCGCTAACAATCGCGATGGTTGGGTCCACCTCCTCTCGCCAGCCTAGGAGAATTTCCTAGACCCTGGGGTGGGGCGGGAGGCGGCAGTTTGGGGTGGGTCAGGGCGGAGCTGAGGAGTCTGTGGAGGCGGAAGCGGCGGCCCGGGGGGGCGGAGAAAGGGGCTGGTCCCGGAAGGAGGAGGAAACCCTGAAAAGAAAACAGCAACAAGCTGAGCTGCTGTGACAGAGGCAAACAAAATGGCGGCGCTGAAGGGGAGCCTCTGGTTCAGGGCCCAACTGGGGCTTCCGCCGCTGCTGCTGCTGACCATGGCCCTGGCCGGAGGCTCGGGAACCGCTTCAGCTGAAGCGTTTGACTCAGTCTTGGGTGATACGGCGTCTTGCCACCGGGCCTGTCAGTTGACCTACCCCTTGCACACCTACCCCAAGGTAGGGCCCGTCCAAACCGGGCTACAACCCTTCCCTTGGCCGCTCTCGCACAGCTCTGTCGGTTCCGGGGACCTGGCTGTTGAATCCCCCCTTCAGCCGCTGTCTCCCACCTGTGTAGCCCCTGAATTTTCCCCCAATCCTATCCGCACTCTGCTCCTGCTGCAATAACCAGAAGTTTGTGCTGCACCTACCCTGTTAATAGGCCGGGGAGCACAAAGATGAGAAAAAGATAGCACCCCTTTCCTCTGGGAGCTTGCGGGCTGCAAGGGCGATGATTATTCCTAGGGGGAAGGAGGAAACGGGTGATTGATGCGGGGTCCTCACCTTCAAGGAGAGTAGGGGGCGGCGGGGTGGGGAACAGCAGCAAATTCGAAAGCCCACAAAAGGATAATTCATAACTCATGTTTACTGAGCGCCTCTTTAAGCCTAGAGCGCACAGTCTGTTCGGAGAGTCAGACAAGTGGACAATGCCACTCTAGTATGAAAGTGTTAAGGCGGCGGCCCAGGAGCTGTGCGACGCCCAGGAGAGGCTTTCCGCCTGTGCTGAATTACTGTGTGCAGAAGGCTGCCATTAGGGACTGGGTGGCTTAGAGGAGAAGCACTGATCTGCTTTCAAAGAATTTAACATTCAGTGCCGAAGACCGAGGGAATTCGTGGAGTGGGTTAAGAAATGAGCTTGCTGCGGGGAGGGATTGGTAGGGATCGGAAGGGATCTCGGAGTGACCCTATTTTCAAACCCACCCCCACTCCGTCCCACCCCAGCTACTGCCTTTCCCTTAAATTCCATTCCACTTCTCAGATTTTTTTCAGCTTCCCAAGAACTGTTTCTCCAACATTTTAAATTGCTTGGTGACTCCTCCACCCTTCCCATTTGTAACTTAGGTATACGTTCTCTTCCCACTACTCCCCGCCCCTTTTCTTTTGTTTGTGTTGCTGGTCGTTTCGTTCTCGTCTTTGCTTCATCTCCCTACCCACACTGTTTGCTTAACCATGTGGCTTGTCGTCTTGATCCTCTCAGACTACGGAGTGACCAGAGAGAACAGGTCCAGTGACGTTTAGGATGTTTCTTTTTGGCAAGTGCTTTCAGGTCTTTGAAATGAAGTTTTCTAAATTCTGTCACTTCCCATGTGTCTGTTTACCGCTGGGTTTTACAATGCATGAGGATTGTCAATTTTCAAGAAAAGGCAGGGGAGAAAAGATTATACTAAAATTTCCAATCAAGTGCTAAGGTAGCAATCAAAAGAGAAAAATGAGAAATTCTGACTTCTACACTTAAATCAGTGTATACTGCCCCTAAATACATTATATTGTTTTCTTAAAAGGCTCTCATCATTAAGAGAGTTGTATGAGGAAACTAATTAATATTGATTAGGTCTGGAATTGGGTGGAGGCTGACTGTAATTCTAACATTTGGTTGTGGTGGGGTTTTTTTCCCCCTTTTTTGAGATTTTCCCAGCAAATTGGTAGTGTGAACCAGAATACTGGGAGGACAATTTGAAAGATAAACATTTCTGGGGCCATTAGGTACTTTCATAATAATCATTGCTTTCTAACAATTGATGTGAGAGATAGACATGTAAAATATGTATATAATTTTTATTTAATCTTTAAAACTCTTTTCACCAAGAATTCTAAATCATCTTTCTCCTGTACTTCTTGGATTTAAAGTTTATAAACTGTCTATGTTAAACAATATGATGAGACATTTGCACCATTATCCTAATTCTCACAATCAACCTGCAAAATTAGGTTTTACATTTGATGAAATTGAGATTCTAAAATTTAACTAATCTGCCCAAGGTCACATCGCCTGGAGTTGTAGGAATTCAGTTCTAAAAACTGACTATGCTATGCTGCCTCCTACTATCAAGTTGTATTAAAAATTATTTACTGATTTCTGTTGGTCCTCGCCCAGCTCCAAATTATTGTACTTTGTGGTTCAAGGAAAGATAATGTGTTATTAGAAATTAGATGAATCTACAAGCTCATATGGCCTCTTTTGGTCTGTTATTTGTAACGGGCAAATAGAAATCATATTTTAATGACTTTCAGAATTAATTATTTGTTGCAAGAAAGTCGCTATTTTAAAATTATATTTTAAATTACATTTCACCTTATTAACTCTTCTCAAAAATGCAATTGCATAATTTGTCTGGGCCCAAATACAAGAGATGTGTCATGTTAATAAGAAAGCTGATTAGAGCCAGCCTGGTCATTTTTTTAGTAGAGGGTGGGCTCTGGGACTGTACTAACTTGGTTTCCATTCCAGCTCCATTTTTACATCTCCTGATTTAATTTTGTCAGCTGTCAAAAAACCTCAGACCTTGCAGAACTAATATAAGGGTTAAAGATAAATTTTGTGGCGCTATTAGCATGGTGTCTAATGCATGGCAACAGATAGTTATTTCTTCTATATGTCATTAAACCAGTTTGGTGTGTGTAGTATTAGTAGTGCTAAACAATGAGAATGGTTAATTTGACTTTACCCAGGATGAGAAGATGCTTGTAAAATCTTTAGGTAGTATCATTGGTTTCTTCCAATGATTTAACAGGAGTACCATTTCCTTGTACTCTAAATCATAGGAGTGACATTATATATAAGCTTGCCAGTAATTTGGGATGAATAGAGCTTAAAATATTCACTTAGAAATTTCATATTGTCTAGGGCAGGGAACACTTGGAATAAAGATATGATTCTTTTTTTGTGTGTGTGTGGGGGGGGACCCTCGCCGGCCGTCGGGGAACCAACCGATGCTGCAGAGGCTGCGGGCACCTCACAGCCCAGCACTCAACCGCTGTGCCACCAGGGGAGGCCAAAGATATGATTCTTAATAGCTACCTATTGAGTGACTGCCCTGTGCCAGGTGTTGTATTGTTAGTACAGTGCCTGGCATATTGTGTGTGCTCATTAAATATATTATTAAATGCTGTGATGTCTATTTACTAGATGATATAGCATAATGTTAATGATGTTATGTACATAAATATATAATCCTCATATTTAAGAATGAGTATTGCATCTGTTTTACAACTCAGGAAGCTGAGGCTGGGAAAGATTGTCACTTGTCCAAGGTGGTACAGAATAAATGGTGAGGCTGAGCTTCAGACCAAGGCTGATTCCTGAACCTAGGCTCTTTTCACCATGCCATGCTCTCTTCTGAAAAATAACACTGGAGTGTTTATTGGGTTAGTTAACAAAAGAAAACATAGCTGAACATAAAATGAGCTCAAACTTCCTCTGTGCAATGTAAGGAAGTATATGGTGCTACAAAGACATAAGAAAAGTCTTCCACTGCTTTACAAAGCCTACAAAAGATACTCAGGTATGAAATTTATCTTCATTGTAAAAATTCTTTCAATTTCATCTTAGCAATAGATGCAACTAGAACTGAGGTCCAAAAATGTAATACCCTCAAAGATGTATAATAGGGCTTAATATTATTGTTTAACATTAGACTGCAGCCATCTCTTCTTGATGGATTGTTGCTGCTGCATAATTTTTACTAATCCTTATGCTGGAGAGAAATGCATACCTATGTATTCCATTGGTTGCTAACTGGTATATATATGCACATGCTGTTTCCTTCCTTATTAGGTGCCTGCCAGTTTGTATACAGTGGACCACACAGTAAGTTAAGGGGGCTCCCTGACTTGCACTTATTTGTTTCATCAGAGAAAGGTTGTTGAAGACATTAGTCTTATTAAGCAGTCACCAGTAAAGAGGAAGCTGTGCTATTCTGAGATCCCACATATATACAATGATGCCTTTAAACGTTATGTTCTACTTTTAAAATCTTTTGCTATGATTAACACTACTACTATTTATTGAGCACCTTCTTTGTCCCAGGTACTGTGCTAGAAATAGCTGTCTTTCAGTGTTATTGAGGAGTTTGACGAAGAATTATCGTCTTTCATGATGAGAAAGCTGAAATTTAGATAATAACTTAAGAGAGTTACTTACCTAAAAGATTTTAATCCAGGTCTAACTGATTCCAATGGCCTTTCCCATACATCACACTGTTTATTTTCAGTAAGCCAGGTTTTTAAAATCCTTTCATGTAAGCATTTGCATACATGCATACCTATTTTCTAGGGGCCTCTGTGGTACCATTCCCGATGTGAAGCTAGACATGTAACTTTTCTGGATAAGCCTGGTGATTTTTATATTTATGTGGCAGATGCATTGTACCATTGGTACTTTCTTACTCATTTCTACCTCTGTTAAAGTTCTTCTGTTCCTATTATTTTTATTTTCAAAATTTTCCTCACAAAATATAACCACAGAATATGGGGAGAAGATGATGTTTTTACTCACTAGACTTATTTCTTGTGTATTACTTTTAAAATAAGAAACCAAAGTCTCTTTCTATGGCAAAGGTTCTTAGATATTACCTGGTTCCCATCATTTTTTCCCCTTTTGACAGCTTATAATAAACCCTACTAACTTTGCTTTCTTTTTGATCTTTTTTTATTTGAGGGAAAAAGACTATTTTTTTGGTAATCCTCCCTGTTCTTGAATTCTCTAGGAAGAGGAATTATACGCATGTCAGAGAGGTTGCAGACTATTTTCAATTTGTCAGTTTGTGGATGATGGAATTGATTTAAATCGGACCAAATTGGAATGTGACTCTGGTAAGATGCTACTTTAATGACATCAGCAGTATATAACAGTGGTGTTTGTTGTTGTTGTTAGCATTCATTATTTTTATTTATTGTATAGAAGAACTGGGGGGGTAGACCTCAGGTGGGGGATGGGTGTGAGAGGATTCACCAGAGACAGAGTGGGGAGCAGAACAGGCGGTTTTACTGAAATGCACTGCTGAGGGGAGCAGCAGGTGAGACAGGGGAGGTCTGCTGCACCATGTGGGTTAGCTCCCAGGCCAGGGTTTGAACTCAGGCCACTGAGGTGATAATGCTGGGACTTAGCCCCTAGGCCACCAGGGAGGCCCAATAGTGGTGGGTTTTTTTTGAGATGTGTTATGCTCTTTATTTTCCTCAGAACACACAAACATACTTTTAAACTAATCATTCAACCTATTTTAATTGTTATGAAGTTAGAGTATTCGTAGCTGCTAGAAATTTCATGGGCTTTAAATTTCTGTTTGTTGAAATTATTTTTCTTTTTTATACTGTGGATAGGACACCTTTGTTTAATTAAGCATTTGACTTAGAAAAATGTAGTAATAATTACCCTACTCTTAATTCATCACTACTTTTTTAGTGGTTAGTATAATTTTCCTGAGCCTTTCAGTATAGGGCAGTTGACTTAATTCCATGTTTTTATGGAATCAGGCCTTTGCTCAGTATTTAATAATGTGCTCTTTGTGGGTCATGTCAATGAAAGAGTAACTGACATCTTTTTCATCTCTTAAACTGCTTTTCTTACTTCTTGCTGAAGATGTGTTTAAGAAAAGAAATCAAGTCAAAATTGGCATCTAACTTTTTAAAAATAATATCATGGGAATTTGCTCCATTCATTACATTACACTGCTTATTCAGTGTAACAGGAAGTACCTTTCTTCCTATTGCAATGCTATGAGTGACATCTGGTCTCCATGATATCATAACCTTATTTTTTACTTACCAGTGTCTTAACTGACCATCTTTGTATGTGCACAATGCTACTCAGTTTATTATCTAACACCTTTGAGAAGTGTATTAGAGATGCATGACTGAGTTGGAAAGAAACTTAACATTATTATAGTGAAGTGTTATGTTACAAGAAAGAAATGGTTCGAGTGAATCTGGTAGAAACCCATTCCAACTTTAGAATCACCTGCCATAAAATATTTTCTAAGTTCAGTTTTCTCAGAATTTAGGGTTTTGGACTGATTGCTTTGTTTTATTTTTCCCTTGCTTCTCAACTAAGTGATTATATATTTGTTTAATTCACTAAAATATTTCTTGAAGTAGGTGGTGGCATTGCCAGGGTAGACACATAGAAATCAACAGTCAGAGAGGTTGGAATACCTTAGCCCAGATTACGTACATAACCAACAGATAATGGAGCCAAAACTGTAAGATGGCCAGTCCAATGTTTTTTCCACTGTGCAAAGCTTGGCTATAAGTATCCCTTCATATAAATGACATCATGTAAACAGAGCCTGAGTGTGTAATTATTACATTTATACAATGAAATATTTGACTTGTCAGAGGTAGAAGATGAGGGGTTTTATTAAAATAATACATTTACTACCATTACCAAGTTGGGAAATTCAAATTAATGTAATGCTTTTTAAATTTAAGAAATTTTCTTTATAAAATGCCAAATCCTTCCCTTTTCTATCCTCCTGCTCATATGTGTGCTTTCTCTCCCTCATAATTTAACTGTTTTTCTCTTACAGCATGTACAGAAGCATATTCCCAATCTGATGAGCAATATGCTTGCCATCTTGGTTGCCAGAATCAACTGCCATTTGCTGAATTGAGACAAGAACAAGTATGAAATAATATTGCCTTTCAGAATTGCATGCTTAGACTGTATTAAGTTGTACTGAAATATTTGTTGCCCACTGAGTCCACTTTAGTATTACATTTTTTGATTGCAGTTTTCAGTAAGCAAATTATTTGTTTGTAAATAGCAAAGTTAATTGAATAGTTCCTACATAGAATGCTTTATTTTTGGAAGGTATGTTTAGATCCATAATCACATTTGTTTTTTCTCATGGTCCAATGAAGATGTCCCTATTTGCATATGAAAAAAACTGAGACTCAAGAGAAATTGATAGCTCATACTTGTTTTTGCCATCCCAACTGCCATTATTTTAACTCAAATCATCATTTCCTAGCTATATTGCTAAATAAGCTTCCAAACTATTTTCCCACTTGTAATGCCCTTTAGTCTGTGTCCCAATATTTTTCTAAATGGAAAGTTCATCTTGTCATTCTCCTATCTTATATATATTTCAGTAGATTACATTACAGATTTAAGTCTAAACCACTTATCACAGCCTGACTCTTGATTATCTTTCCTATGTCATCTCTTATAATTACATACCCCTCATACTTTATACTCCAACATGGGCAAAATTTCTTAATTTTATTAACTTTTGCGTTAGAAATATAGCTTCATGGTACAAAACTCAAAGGGTACAAAAAGTATATAGTGCTCCTGCCCCTGTATTTCTTAGCCACATTTTTCTATGTTAATGTAACCAGGATTACAAATACAGAGGTATTTTGTGCATGTACAAGGATACATGTATTCTTCTCTTTATAAAATATAAATATACATAAAGAATGTTTACTCATATTTTTCACTAGATAATATTCCATTGTATGGTGTATCATACAACTTAAGCAGTTCCTTAATTGTGGACATGTAGTTTATTTCTAATCTTTTTCATTTATAAATAATGTTGCATATTTTATACATTTATGAGTATATCTACATAATAGAATCAGGAGTAGAATTGCTGACTTAAGAGATAATGCATTTAAAAAAAGAGAGATAATGCGTTTTTAATTTTGAAAAATAGAGCAAGATTGCCCTCCATGGAATTTGTACCAGTTTTTTAAATTGAAATATGATTCACATATTATAAAATTCACCCTTCTAAAGTATTCAATTCAGTAGTTTTAAGTATATTCATAGGTTGTGTAGCCATTATCATTATCTAATTCTGGACCATTTTCATCACCCAAAAATAAATCTCATATCCATTAACAGTCACTCTCCTTTCCTCCTCCCACCAGCCCCTGGCAATGTATGCCACATTTATTATAGTTTCATTTGTGTTTCTCTTATTATGAGTAATATTAAACAAATTTCCTAACGTTTAAGAGCCATTTTTATTTCCTTTTCTCTTAATTGTGTACATACTATAAGTTTTTAATGCTTATAATTCATGTGTTATTTCATGCCTCTTTCTCCATGTCCCATCTACCTAGTGAGTCCTCTTGGCTTGGCTGTGGGCACGTGTCATTCCTTTGCGAATGTGAATTCCTTTGTGAACTACCTCTCACCTCCATTTTGAGTTAGGAGTCTCTCCCTGTATACACATTATCACCCTTTCTTTAACCTCTGTCCTATGTAGATGACACAGATTAAGCACAGGTATGCATTGATGAATAAAACATACATGTTCCCTGATACCTTCACATTTCTAATCTCAGTGAAATACTTGTTCAATGAATTAATCAATGAAAGATTTCACAGCGATTAAGAGGGAATATTGGATCATGAATACAGATCTTCTGATTTTAAAAATTGCTCTCCAGTACCCATAATGCCTTTCTTTTGAAACATAGCTGACTCAAAGCTATTCCTAGAGTTCAACATAAAGTACCCATACTTGTGCTCTAAAGGGGCCCACTTCTACTAAGTCAAGAAGTCAGAATTGGAAGGTAGAAGATACCAATTAATGTTGAAATGTTATCAATAGCTTACTATATGTATTTAGCCTTTAAATGTTCTCATCCTACCTGGTTATAAGATGTCTCTCATTTTATGTGTATATTCTTTTGATTGGTTTTTTTTTCCTTCCTCTTTTTCATTGATGCTCATGATTTAATTTTTTTAAAGATTTATTTCACTCATTTATGCATACAAGACCTGGGGTGTAGGCCAGAGGTACAGGGGTGCGAGAGGATTCACCAGAGACAGAGTGAGGAGCAGAACAGGCAGATCTACGGAAATACACTGGTGAGGGGAGCAGCGGGTGACAGGAGAGATCTGCTGTGCTATATGTGGGTTAGCTCCCTGATCAGGGATCCAACTCATGTCTCAGCTTGATAGTGCTGAGACTTTAACCCTTGCACCACCACGGAGCCCGAATACCATGATTTATTTTAAATTAAAGATGAGCATGGTATTATTTGACCTCCCCCTTATGCCTCCTTATTTGTTAGTCCTTATTTAATTAAATCTTAAGATTCACCACATTTTTTAGACCTGATTTAAAAGCCTGTTATTCTGATAGAGGTAACAAGTAGCTTCTAAATGTGATGGTAAATTAAAGTAGTCAGAGATTTTAGCTTTATCATAGTTCATTTGTGCAGATAACTGTTTACCCTAATGCTAATGATTATAGTAGATTAACTTAAGGTTTATATCCTGTTCCAGTATGAGTTTGAAGAGTCTTGAATATGTTGCTTTTTTTAAATATACATATATAAAAATAATATATTTCTCATGATTTAATTTTTTAAGCTCATGTCCCTGATGCCAAAAATGCATCTACTCTTCCCTCTAACTTTGGTAAGGTCATTCTGGAGTGACATGATGGATTCTGCACAGAGTTTCATAACCTCTTCATGGACGTTTTATCTTCAAGCTGATGATGGAAAAATAGTTATATTCCAGGTGATGACTGGCTTCATAGATTCAACTAAATGCCAAAAGCCATAAATGTGTTATGTCTTAAATAAATGTCTTTTCATAGGGCCATGTGCTTGATCACTTACAAATATTTATCATCACATAATTATTTGGGCCACATAAAAACATTGAGCATCAGGAACAATGTGATTTACCTTCCCTTCTGCAGTTTGGATGCCAATCTAAAGCCCATTGATATTTATCTAACAAGAACCCTGAGTCTTCTAGATTTTATAATGGTCAAATTAATATAATGAAATCTCTAGATATGTGAGATGATAGTAATTAATATGCTTTAAATATAAGTAGTGGATGTATATATCATGAGTAGATATGAGATGGCATAATGTTAATTGTTTACAGTGCTTTTCATCATCTCTTACAAGAAAACTTGTTGAAAGAGCATATTGCTTCATAGAGAAGTAATTTTCCCTCATTTTCTGTGTGATGTTATTTCTTGGAAGTTCTCATGTGCTAGGCATTTTACATATAGTCTCTCAAATCTTCAAAGAACTTCATAAGATTGTATTATCCTTATTTTATTGATCAGGAAGCCAAAAGTCTAATTTGTTTAAGGTCACCTTGCCAGTAAGTAACAGAGTTAAACTTCAAACTTGGGTCATTTTAGCTCCGGAATTCAGATGGTACCCTATGATGTAGTCCTCCTTTTAATTTGGTAATTAAATTCCTCAAATTTACCAGCTAACAAATTATGGTGTAGACCTGTCTTTCTCTCAGGTAATAATTAAAGGAAACCTTTTAATTGTTATTTAATGACTTATTAAAAGACTAGTGTGTGATTTTTTTTTTGGTAGTATCCTGATCTGTATTTAATTTGGTAATAAGTAAAACACAAATAGAATTTTCTCTCTTTAAATTTATGAACAGGTTCTATAGCCTAGAGCTATAAGTTAAAGCTTAAGTTGACTCTTAGAGGAGAGCCCTCATTCATTACTAATTAAATGTGAGTTTAACTCTTTCAAAGGTTTTGTCTGCTTGAGTATAACCAGGATGAAGAAACCCCCACTCCAAAGGATCAGTGCTATAATAAAAATGTAAAGTATGAGATGTTTAGCTGAAATTTATGAATTACTCATACTTATGGAAGAATGGGCTGTTTCAGAAGAAAAAAATAGAGATAATATGTGTTTAACTAAAAATTTTGGCAGTCTTCTAAATTATTCCTGATTAACTAGAATTAGAACTTATTCTTAGAGGGTATGATATTTAATGCAGTGTGTAGTAATTTGTGCCTCTTTTCTCTATTTTTTTTTTTTAAATGTTGTCAGGAAGATAAACTGACTAAATAATTGATGCCAGAAATCTGTCTGTTTCATTGGATCTGATGTTTAAGAAGTGCAATTAAAATATATTGTGGTTAATGTGTTTTATTTTTTTATACCATGCTTCTGTTACTTTTTCTCAATTTGAATGTTTATAGAGATGATGTGTTATAGAACTTGCTACTTTTCTGAAAAAAGCTCAAAAAGTACAAATGACTTAATTGCTTTCATTATCATTTTAGTCTAAGCCAGAAATCCAGTATGCACCACAGTTGGAACAGGAATCTACAAATTTGAAAGAATCATCACTAAGCAAAATGTCCTGTAAGTCTTATTTTAAGTAACTTAGCAAAAAAAAATTATCGGTCAAATCTGGTTGTGGTAGAAGCACAACATTGAATGTTTTTATGGGAATGAAAGGTAAACAGATAATTTCTAAAATGTTGGTCTCAAACTTTAATATGAACTAAGATCTGGAGATCCTGTTAAAAAATAGATTGCTGAGCCCCATCTCCAAGTTTTCAATTTACTAGATCTGAAATAAGATCTGACAATTTTTGTTTCTAACAGGTTCCCAAATTTCATTGATGTTACTAATCTGGGGACCACACTTTGAGAACCATTATTCTAAAAACACTTAATTGCTTTCAGGGATGTTTGAGAGTGAACTTGAAATATTCTGATATTTCCCAATAAACTAACCAAATAGTGAACTACCCCAAAAGCAAGAGTTCTTATTCTATTTTTATTTCTATGCTAGAAGTGAATTTTAACTTACAGGAATACTTAAAAAAAAAAAAAAAAGCTACAGCTGAGTTTACCTTTTAAAATGTACTAGTTGGGCCTCTTCTGGTGGCACAGCGGTTGAGTGCTGGGCTGCGAAGCTGCGCGCAGCCTCAGCAGCACTGGTTCGATCCCCGGCCGCTGGGCGAGGGTCCCACATGGTACTCAGACCTCTCCTGCCGCCCTCTGCTCCCCTCAGCAGTGTACTTCGTCACTCTGCCTGTTTTGCTCTCCGCTCTGGCGAATTCTCTCACCCTCCCGCACTTCTGACTGTACCCAGTGCTTGTATAAATAAATCTTAAAAATAAATAAATAAATAAATAAATAATTCTTTAAAATAAATAAATAAATAAAATGTACTAGTTTAGGGCCTCCCTGGTGGCACAGCGAATTGAGCGCCACACTTTGAAGCTGTCTGCAGCCTCTGCAGCACAGGTTTGATTCTGGGCCAGCCAGGAAGAAACCCACATGGTGCGGCAGACCTCTCCTGCCTTGCCCCCTACTCCCCTCAGTGGTGTATTTCAGTCAATCTGCCTGTTCTGTTCCCCACTCTGTCTCTGGTGGATCCTCTCACCCCCCAAATCTCTGTACTGCAGTTCTTGTATAAATAAATAAATCTTAAAAATTAAGTAAATAATAAAAATTTTAAAAATGAAATGTACTAGTTTATACTGTATTTTAGATACTGATTTAATTAATATTCTGGTTATTTTGGTGAGTGGATAATGGTGGCACATAATGGAAGGCCACCTTTAATTTCAGAATAAACCAAATTCTACCCTTCAAATTCACATGTAATTAAAACGAAAGCATCAACATCAATAAGAATTTGGAAATAAAATAGCAAATCCATAATGTAGAATATCCATTTGATTTTTAACAATTCATTATAAAATATATCAGATTATATTTATAAAATCTAGTGAATATCTGTAAAGGATATATATCTAGAAGTAGTCACTTGAGACTAGCTTTTGAATTATAGGATATTATATAATCGTATGCTTTTTTTATTTCAGCAGATCTGCAGATGAGAAGTTCACAAGCACACAGGAATTATCTTGAAGATGGAGAAAGTGAAGGCTTTTTAAGATGCCTCTCTCTGTATGTATCTCTCTTTATGTTTATCGGAGATAAAATCTGACATATCAAAAAGATGCATTCCTTTGTAATATTTTAAATATTAACGGGGGCCTCCCTGGTGGCGCAAGAGATTAAGCATCACACTGTGAAGCAATTCGCAACCTCTGCAACATGAGTTCAATCCCCGGCTGGCCAGGGTGAAACCCACATGGCAAGGGGCAGACCTCTCCTGTCTTGCCCGCTGCTCCCCTCAGTAGTGTATTTCAGTCAATCTACCTGTTCTGTTACCCATTCTGTCTCTGGTGGATCCTCTCACCCCCCGCATCTCTGGCCTGTACCCCAGCTCTTGTATGCACAAATAAATAAATCTTTAATAAATAATTAAATAAATAAAATGATATTAACTGCTCAAAAATAAAAAAACTTTTTATTTTTCCCTACCAAACTTAATACTTTTGGATATTTCAATTGTTTAAAAGGTAATATTCATACTACTTTAATAAAATCCAAGGAGTTTTTTTCATAATACAAAAGCATTCTTATATTTGTTAGAATACCTTGATTTATGTGAAGAAATGTACTTCTACAGACATTTAAATTAAGCTTTAATTTAATGTCTGAATAGTTGGGGTCCTAGTTTTGTATGCATAGACACACCTGAAGCTAAAGGAAATAGGTAAAGGTTATAGATAGGAGAACTTTGTCTTTTACACTAAGAAATGTCAACCTTATACCAGGAATTTTTTTTTTAAAGATTTATTTATTTATGCATACAAGAGCTGGGGTATAGGCCAGAAGTGTGGGGATGAGAGTATTCACCAGAGACAAAGTGGAAGCAGAACAGGTGGATCTACTGAAATATACCCTTGAGGGGAGCAGCGGGCAAGACGGAGAAGTCTGCTGCAGCATGTGGGTTAGCTCCCTGGCCAGAAATGGAAGTAGGATAGTGCTGAGACTTAACCCCTTGCGCCACCAGGGAGGCCCATATGCCAGGAATACTTAAAGATGGCAAGGGGGCAAGGGACCATGGGTAGGTAGGCATCATGAGTTTCTTTAACTCCTCCAAGGATTTTGATAAGTTTTCCCCCTAGCAACCTGGAAAAGAAGAAAGTAAGCTGTAACACTGACTGATAATTACATACTCTGTGTACTTGAGGCCAAGTACTTGAGTAGAGCAGTAAACAAGTACTTGCCCTCAAAATGTATGCTCTGATGGGTTGTTCTATCTCCGGTGTACTGCGGCAGTAGTCCAAACTGCATGTTTCATGTCATTTCTTGTGATAGAAATAGTTTCTTGTTAGGTTTTTCAGATATCATTATATGGAATCTAAAAATTAATGTCTTTCACTGAAAGAAGTCTTAAAGACTGGGTGAGAAAATGAAATTGAACTTTAAATTTTCCCTTCCTTTCATTCCTAAGTTGCTTTTGATGATGTGCATAAAAAGGGCAGTTTGTCTTTGTCTGGCATACAGGATTTTTGTGTCGTTTGATAATTTTATGAAACCCAAGTAATCACCTACTCTTACTTACAGTTTATTCTCAATATGGTACTACCTGGAATGTTTCTGGTGACTTGTACTTTAACATTTTGTCATTGTATCTTATATTCTTTTACATCTAGCATTTTAGGTAACTTTATAAGTGTTTAACTTAGGAAACAAGTAACTTTATAACTACAGATTTAGTCCTTAGAAGTTTCTGACTACAAACATGAATTATTGAACTTTAATAAAAAGTATCCTTTTTTATACTTCTTCCCCCTCGTGATATCATTTGATTCTTAGAACAATATGCTGTCGTAAGTAGGTTGGTCAGAAAAGTGAATCAACCACCCTCAGGTTATACATCCACTATGTTAAATTCAAACCTTTTTTTGTCATTCTACATCTTTTACTCATCCTATTCTCTCATAGCGCTTTCCTAAAAGGTCATGATTTTTCCCTGATAACATACAAGGTCACCTAACCAATCAGCGGAATCTGGTCTTCTGACTCCTGTTGCAGTGCTTCTTTTTATTAAACCTCATAGCCTCCAGAATGAAACTGAGGTCACACTCATTTTTCACTTGCCATTTCTTTTTGGAAAGTCTGTTATATGCCAAGCAACTGTGTTAGGGACTTGAGACCAAAAGAAGCATGCTTAGTCTCTGCCTCTCTATAATTCTCAGGTCAAGTATGGTAGACAGACATTTAAACAATGAAACAACGCAGTTGATTATGTTATAATTGTTTTATATCATACACACATACCTGTCCTATACAGAGTACAAAGAGTATACCTAAGTCTTTCAGAGGTCTCAAAGGGAGGGATTTGCTGAAGAGATAGAAATAAATCTTAAATGATGAGTAGAGATTTTGGCTAGCTCTAGCAAAAAATTTGTTTAAGACTTTTTCCCCCCAGCAATACTGGGTTCTTATTGAAAGTATAAAATATGTTTGAAGAGTCAGGAGAATCAGCCTGTGGACCAAACCAGGTAAATAGGAACTAAATAGAAGCAGTAAAATAATCAAGAGTACTTGGGAAGAGGCTTTCATGTGAAAGGGAGAGGAGAGGACCAGGTTGGAAAGCTTTAGTAAATCAGCCAAAAAACTCTGAGGTCTGAATTAGGGCAGTAGAAGAAGGTAGGAGATAATGAAGGTAGTTGAGAATCTGTGGGATTGTTTTGTTGTAGAAACTGAAGCAGATTGACTCTAAAATGAACATATTTTCTGGCTTAACTAGCTTTACTGTAATCTATCAATAGATATCACATATACCTTCTTGTTTCATGGAAGAATTCCTTGGTAGCTGGGTTAGCACTGGATTATGAAGAGTCTTTTCATTAAAAATATTTTTTACTCTATTGTCCTCCTAAATTGTAATACTTTTTAAAAGCATCGTGTATAGGAGTTCCCTTCCTTTAGATGCAAGGTATTTTCCAAAGTCCATATCTTTTGCTGGGACACAGACTTTTTTCATAGCATGTTCAAATATCAGCAGCCCAGCAAGTGAATGGATTGTGGTGGTAAGTACAGATCTTTATTAAGTTAAGCACAGGTGTGAAAATTGCCTGTATTAATTACTCAGTTTTTAAGAATTAGATTCTTACATATTTAAAAATGGCTTCTTTGTTTTCCATCTTTTTAAGTCTTAATTTATTGCTTAGCAAAGAATAGGTCAATTATGGAAAAAATATCTCCAGCTGCTGATTCTTGTAACTGGTCTTCTACCTTAAGATTTTTTTTTTAAGATTTATTTATTTATGCATTGTAAAGGTCAGGAACAGACATGGTGCAGTTTTTCTGATCCCATGCAGACCGGGTAAAGGAGGAGTCAGAGTCCTCAGTAGTTTTGCAGGTTTTTTATTGGGGTTCACCAGGCATATGGCAGGCAGGGGTGCTGGCTGGGGGGCTGGGAGGCTGGCAGGCCTCCCAGCCCCCAGCAAGTCTTCACTCTATCTGGGCTCTCTAGCTTTTGTTCTGCCGCTTCTCGGCTTCTCTTTCGGCTTCTGCTTCGGCTTCTACTGCTGCTTCGGCTTCTACTGCTGCTGCTGCTTCTACTGCTGCTGCTGCTTCTACTGCTGCTGCTGCTGCTACTGCTGCTGCTGCTGGCGTCCCCGTGACGCCGCCCTTAAAAAGCACAGTCTTAGCTCAGCTGAATCCGATCTACCTATGCCCACACCCTATTCCAGGTGCCCGCCATCAGGCATGCATTCAGGCAAGGATCCATCATCTATCCTGATGGCGGAAGGGCAGAAAAGCCTGACATTTTCTTTACCCTACATGCATACAAGAACTGGGGTAGAGGCCAGAGGTGTGGAGGGTGAGAGGATTCACCAGAGACAGAGTGGGGAACAGAACAGGGTGATTGACTGAAGTACTTGCTGAGGGGAGCAGCAGGCGAGACAGGAGAGGTGTGTCTCGCCATATGGGTTGCTCCCTGGCCGGCCTGGGATGAAACTCGTGCTGCAGCGGTAGTGGAGAGCTTCATAGGTTGGTCTTAACTCCTTGTGCCACCAGGGAGGCCCCTACCTTAAGATATTTTAATGAGGGCCTCCCCTGGTGGCACAGTGGTTGAGCGCTGGGCTGCAAAGCTGCCCGCAGCCTCTGCAGCACAGGTTCGATCCCCAGCTGCTGGCAAGGGTCCCACATGGCGTGACAGACCTCTCCTGTCTCGCCCACTGTTTCCCTCAGCAGTGTATTTCATCAGTCTGTTCCCCACTCTGGCTCTGGTGAATTCTCTCACCCTCCCGTGCTTCTGACTGTACTCAATGCTTGTATAAATAAATAAGTTTTTTAAAAAATATATTTTAATGAGAATGATGTAACTATGGCTTTACTGAGATATGCTATAATCGGTACAGAATGCCTCATAATAGATGTGTTCTTTAAATTGAAATATAAGTAAATTGTGACAAATTAAATATTTGAAGTGTTCTAGAGAAGCTAATTTCTGGAAACCTGTTGAATATTTTTATAGTGCAAAGGATCACTTCATAATTTACCTATTTAATACCTTAACTCTGAGATAATTGGGTTTTCGTAAAGCATCATACACCTTGAAAAATATAGCATGCATATGATAATGTACAACTTATTGGATACTTTCATTTGTCTTATCTCATGTAGTAATTTTTAAGTAGTTGTTTTAATTTTATATATTTGGCAGAACACCTGTATGGTTTTTTTAATGAAAATTATGTTTACAGAAACTTGAACAATGGGAGAAAAGATATAACATCACCCTAATAGCTATTACAGTATTTCCTTCTATAACTGTTTTTTAATAGTTTTAAAAGTAGTACACAAAGCTATAATTGTGTTAATTAATCTAAGCATAGAAGGCTGATTGCCTTTAATTATTAAAAATCTTCTATTTCTTACATTATCAAATTTGATTATTGGTCTTTTTCAGTAACTCTGGCTGGATTTTAACCACGACTCTTGTCCTCTCGGTGATGGTATTGCTCTGGATTTGTTGTGCAGCTGTTGCTACAGCTGTGGAGCAGTATGTTCCTGCTGAGGTAATTTAATTCTAACCTTTAGACCATTTGAAGACTGAGCCAGATGATTCACCATTTTAAATGCCTATTCACTTAACTGGAAAAACAAGTTCTCTGTACTAATATAGTGACGGAAGATTTGGTGGTTTTAATCACACACATGAAGGTTGGCACACTTGAAAATTACAGGTTTGTAGCATAAGAATCACTGTTCCTAATTTTCTGTGATGCTAAAATAACTACCATGGGGACTGCTTGAGTAAAGTCTCTCTCTCCCCCTAGTTCTTGAAACTGAAAAAATTCTGTTCAAACAGCAGTTTCTGAGGTGACATGTAAGAGAGACTTATAGAAACACTAAAAGTTTTGAATAAATTGCCATAAACGTTAAGGTATAATTGCTGTTTTAGAAGCTGCAAGGCAGAAACATTTGATTTGAGTTAATATATCCTGGAATATAACTTAGAAATGAAAAACTGTTGTGACTTTGTTGGTAATTAAAATTTAACTGGCCCAAGCAGTGTAGCTGTTAAAATAGGGATTTTTGTTTTGAGGAAAGGCTATAATTTGATGATTCAACTTTAGTGTCAGTAAAGAAAGTTATTTATAGAACTAAATATAAGATAATGTCTGTTGACATCAAACACAAGTGAAATGAACTTTAATTCTCTTGCACCACCAAAGTGCAGTAGAAAAAGAGAGAAAAGAAGAAAGGAGGGAAATTAAAATAGAATCTGATAATAATTAGTGGGCATGTATGTAGCATGATGCTTGAACTACACTTACCTTAATAGAACTTTATTTTTTTTTTTAAAGATTTATTTATTTATTTGTACAAGCACTGGGTACAGTCAGAAGCACGGGAGGGTGAGAGAATTCACCAGAGCCAGAGTGGGGAGCAGAGCAGGCAGAAGGACCGAAGTACACTGCTGAGGGGAGCAGCAGGCGGCAGGAGATGTCTGCGCGCCATGCGGGACCCTCCTCCAGTGGCCAGGGAGCAGCCGGGGATCAAACCGGCACCGCGGAGGCTTCGGGCAGCTTCGCAACCCAGCGCTCAACCGCTGCGCCACCAGGGAGGCCCTTAATAGACTTTAAAGCTATGTTTTAATACATGATTTATACAAGAATGATTAATATACTTCATGTTTTTATTAGGATGATATGTAATATAGGCTGCTATATAGGCAGGATAATATTGATCACTAGCATTTATATAGTTCTTTAAAGTTTACAAGTATTTTCATATATCTTACATTCTAGAAATACTCTACAGCAGGTTTTATTATTCATAATATAAATGAGTAAACAGGTTTACAAAGTCTACATAGCCTTCCTGGGATTTCACAGGTCTGAAGTTTTAAAAGTTAAGTATGTGTAAGTATTGAGGCTGGAGTTAAGCTCCTGTCTTTTGAATCAGAACTCCTGTTTTTTTCATGCTACCATCTTTATGGCTGATCAGGTGTATAAATGACACAAATAATGAATGTTTAAAATCTTAAGGAAAGCAGAGACTATGTGTTGAGATTGTCAGATAAAGCTTTTAGGTAATGGGGGTCTTGACCTGAACTTTGAAAAATGGATAGTAAGGTTTGGATTAGCGGATAGAAGAAGGTGAACATGTCCCCCTCCAAACAAGCTAACTATTGAGGAAGGTCTTTAAGGAACTGGCCTGATTAAAAGAACTTGAATTAGGAAAGTAAGCCAAATGGATAAAGTTGGATAGGATTAGAAAGAGCCTTAAATTGTGGAAGTGTTAGAGCATGGGTAAATCTCTATAGAATTCATTTATCATGTGAATACTGCTGTATTACCTACTTGTGCTCTGGTTTAATTCTGATGTCCATATTTTAATCATTCTGTTGTTCCTGATAAAGCTGAAATTATCCTTTGCCTATTACTTCTTTTTTAGCTACCCATGTATTCTGAATCCTCATGGCAACAAAGTTACGAAGCTATAGTAATAAATCTTTGTTGATCTACCACCCTTTAGCACTTTGTTAGATCCTTAAATAACACATATCATTTTCCAAACCTGTGTTAAGTTAAACATTTAGTAGCAGAGAAACTTACTCATAGGGGAGCTAAGATCATAAAGGGCTTAATCATTTAAGGCATCAGACTTTCAGAATCAGTGTTTTTGATATGTCCATACTAATTCCATTTAAACCGGACCAGATTTTTTTGGTACTCAGTTATTATACTTCTAAGTAATTTTAAGTTAGGACAGAGGGAAATTTTCTTTGGCATTCCCCTGGAAGCTGGATTCACCTATCTGTAACACTGAGTAAAAGTATCTCCATTCCTTGGGAGAAAATACTTGCATACCATACAACTGATAAGGGACCGATATCAATGATCTACAGAGAGCTTATACAGCTCAACAAACACAAAGCAAACAACTCTGTCAAAAAGTGGGTAGAAGAGCTAAAAAGATACTTCTCCAAAGAAGAAATGCAAATGACCAATAGGCATATGAAAAAATATTCAACGTTACTTACAATCAGGGAAATGCAATCAAAACCACTGAGATACCACCTCACACTGGTGAGAATGGCACATATGAAGTCAACTGGCAATAATAAATTCTGGCAAGGATATGAAGAAAAAGGAGCCTTCTTACACTGTTGGCAGGAATACAAACTGGTCCAATCACCATGGAAAGCTGTGTGGAGGGTCCTCAAAATACTAAAAATGGATCTACCATATGACCTAGTGATTCCACTCCTAAAAATCTACCAAAAGGACACAAAAATACTAATCCAAAAGGAAACCTGCTTTGCTTATTGCAGCACTATTTGCAATAGCTAAAATATGGAAACAGCCTAAATGCTACAAAACAGATGACTGGATCAAGAAGATGTGGTATATATACACAATAGAATACTACTCAGTGATCAAAAAAGAAACTCATACCATTTGCAGCAACATGGATGGAGCTGCAAGGGATTATGCTAAGCGAAATAAATCAGAAGGAAAAAGAAAAATAGCAGATGGTTTCACTTACAGGTAGAATATAGGGACAACGAACAAAGGGTCAGGAAAAAGACAAAACTTGTAGGCAAACCATAGATCTGAGGCACACAGCAGGACAGGAGGAGGGAGAGGGGTCAAAAGCGGGAAGGGAAGAGCACAGGGACTATGGTGATGGGTCATGGGTGCTGTGGTTGTGGGAGAATTATGGGACTCACCTGAGGGGAGAAATCAAATATTGTACAAAAAGGAGCAATGTAAGAAATTTAATGCTTTTTTTTTTAAAAAAAGTATTTCCATTTGTGAGGCTGTTTATAGAATTTTTTTACCAAATTCCCCTAGATTAAATTGTTTTTTAAAACTTAGGTTCCTAAATATCCAACTTGCTAATGTGCATCGATATTCTTTTGCAGAAGCTGAGTATATATGGTGACTTGGAATTTATGAACGAACCAAAACTAAACAAATATCCAGCTTCTTCTCTTGTGATTGTTAGATCTAAAGCTGAAGATCATGAAGAAGCAGGACCTCTACCTACAAAAGTGAATCTTGGTCATTCAGAAATTTAAGCTTTGTTTTTTCAAAGATATATGTATTAGACATCTAAACTTCCATTCTTCATAGAGCTTTGTAAAGTGGTTTCATTGGATATAGGGCTTAAAAATCACTATAAAATGCAAATAAAGTTACCCAAATCTATGAAGACTGTATTTGCTATAACTTTACCTGTAATTTTTTTCTAGTAATTTGAGAAATAGATATTTGGGATTGTATTTTTATTTTACTTAATAGCTATAGCTACTTTAATTATTATTTTCATTGGTTTTGTGTGTTTCCTTTCTTAGCAAATGTATGAGCTGATCATTTTTCTTCTCTACCTTCTACCATGATACCTCAGTCACCTTAATTAGTCAAAATACGCACGGGGATATGATGCTTCTGCTCAAAAATAACCCATAACCTGTAAATTGAAATTTACCAGAGAATGTCCTTTAGTGACACTATTTTCAGTTGTATTGAATTGAAAGCATTAAAATTTTATTTGAATACTTATGTGCTTAAATGTGAGTTAATACACTCCTGGTTTCCAGATCTTTTGTTTTACTCCTCCCCAACCGAAAAATATTATATTCTATGTCTGCTGTTACAGGATGATTAGGCAACAAATTGAAGCACAAATGATCCTCTCAGAAATGTATTTTACGTTGTTTCTCACAGGCTATAGATTTCTGTTGGATGAGTCTTTCCAAAGCTCCCCACTCTGTCTCTGGTGAACCCTCTTCCCCCCCACACACACATACACCTCTGGCCTATACCCCAGTTCTTGTATGCATAAATAAATAAATCTTTGAAAAAAACAAAAAAACGGTTTTCTCTGCTAGAAAGCATATCAAGTGTAAGTTAAAGATACGTTCAGAGAAAACTTCATTTTGATAAGAACTAGATTCTTGTGTTGCAGAACTAAGTAAGGCTAGCACTTGGCAAAAACTATTGTTTCTGTCATTCCTTTACCTACAGTAATACAAATTAAAATCAGAGTGATATCAAGTAACATAGCGCACCCCAGAATCTTAACATCCTTTACTGACATTACACCATTACACGTTAACTTTGCAAACCAACACTTTGCTTACAGGTCTATGCTGGTAACTATAGTAGTGCTGTTTGACTACAGGTGAGTCAAATACTTACCTTCCAGCCTAGTTCCCAGCTTTCACTGAGTCTAAAGAAAAGATGTTAAACAAGACCAGTCACAACATTCAGGTTTTGGTTGTCTAGATTTAGAAGACAGGGACGGAACACATCTGGATGGGAAAGAGATGAGGAATTATGACATCGTCATTGTTAAGCAGCCATTATCTCTTCTAATTTGGGGGTAACACAAAACCAAATTTAGACAAACTCCCCTTTTGTTTATAGGAGATAATTCCTTATATGCAGAAATAATCATTTGATATTTAGTGGTCTGTCAAATATTTGTATCCTGGCTTCATTTTATTTCAACATGTTCAGCTTAACTTTAAAAAAGAAAAATTTCCACCCTACCCCACCCCCAAACTGGTACACAACAAGATGTGTTTCTGATTTGAAAATTCTAAAGAAAGCACAAAACTGAGTCTCCCAGCCCCTTCGCCTAATAGTTTTACTCTCCTTGGACAGCCCAATTTCACTTGTTTCCATGAAAGGTATCACATTTCCCCCCACACAGAAAGCATCTTCTTGAGAATATTGTCTTGGTTCTGTGAAATTTTAAGTCTCTTGAGTCTTAGGATCAATCATCCTAGACTCCTAAGGTCCTCTTGGTTCAGGTCCTTGACCTGTATGTCTAAGTGACATACAAATGCAGGGGATTCTGAAAGCAGTAGTGATCACCATAATGGTTGAGACACAAGTTCCCCAGTATTTTCCAAAAATTCATGATACCTTTTATTTATGATATATATTTTTAGTAAATCAGTAATTATCAGATTACCTAGTCTATCTTGTCTCAGGAATCCTTGTGATACATCATCAGCCAATCTGAGCTTCTGATCAGCATGTGACATCTAGTATTTTTATTGAGTTGACTTAGTAAAACAAAATGATTTTATCACTTATTAATCTCTCCTGACTTCATCTCAAATAAATTTGCCATTTCCTTTATGATTTTTGAAATACATGAAATAACTCCTTTGTAATTTGTATGAATTCTTCCAAGGACCACATTGGTAATCATTGCTCTACTGGCTTCTACATCTTTTCTAATAAAATTAGCTCCCCACATCTTTGGAGCAATCTATAAAAACATTCTCAGCAGATTCACCACCACCATCAACCAAGGCAGTGACTTTGCCCAGACACCCTACTATAAATTCGCTGTTAACCACTGGAGAGCCTGATGCCAGGGCCTGTGCTGGGTAATAGAACTGCAACAACAAACAAGACTCCACCTGATTGCAGGTTGGTAAAGTTCTAAAGAAAACATTATTGTTAATGTAGTAAGTGCTATGACCAGGTAAGCATAAAGTACTGTCCAAGTACTGTCCATGTATGGACTGACCAACCTAGATACATATCCGCTGGGAGAAAGTAATATCCCAGCTAAAACCTGGAGGTAAGTGGAAATCCAACCAAAATACAGGAGCAGTGTTCCCAGCAGCAGGGACAGTATGGTCAAAGACCTAGAGGCAAGAGGGTGGGGACCTTCAAACAGTTAACTGGCTGAGATAAAGCATAGCAATAGATGTGACTGAGCATATCAGATGATGGGGACGTGGTCCTGAGGTTGGTGGGAAGCTATAGAAGAGTTTTAAGCAAGAGAGTAACAGTGTTTTAGAATGATTCACTCTACAACAGTGTGGGGGATAGACCAGAAGGGGCAAGTCCAGAGGCCAGCAATACCTCAACTCTATAGTAACTTCTGTGGTCTATTAACAATGTACTTTGCAGTCATAGGAAAGAAACCTTCCATTCCACTGGAAGGAAACCTAAATGGGAAGAACCTATCCTACGTGGGAAATTAGGTAAGGGAAATTGGGTAAGTCTGTCTGTCTCAGACTTACCCAATAATTCTATTTGCTTTTATTTTCTTCACATATACTTTTGAACTCTTACTGGTAAGGCTCTGTGTAGTCTCCGCTTAGTTTGGATGGTAAGCCATGAATGATGTGTCCTGTGGGACTTGGTCCCAGTATGGGTGTTGCCAAGCAAACTAGAAGCTATTCCGTGGATCCCAAGCCTCTAACCAGGCTTCATGTTGGGCTGAATTTTCAAAACACTGTCACCGTCTTCAAACTCTAGGCTTACCAACCCAGCCCCTAGGTCTCCTGAGCCCCTCCCACCAGGCTCCTGTTGCCACTGTGTCATGTTTGCATTTGAGTATCATCAGAATGAGTTTCCTTCATCTTTCCTTGACAACTTGTTCTAGATTAGAGTCTGGGGATGGAAGTATGTACAGCGATAGAGATGGAAAGAGTAAGGCAATGGGAAATGCAGTCTTCTGTGGGAAGCTAAATTGTACAATTAGTGTGAATTTTCTGACACCTTCACAGCAGTTACATTCTAAAGTACAGTTAGGATATACCTTTCCCGAAATTTGTAAGCGTTCAAGTCAGCTTCATATATTCCACTATTAAGTATTCTCTTTTTTGTGATGTTAATGATTTATTTGTCTAAAGCAGGTGTTATTAACCTTTTTCCTACCATGGACCTTTTGGCAATGTGGTGACGCTACAGACCCCCTTCTCAGAATAATGTTTCCTAATGCATAAAACTAAATAGGAAGGGTTGCAAAGGAAATCAATTATATTAAAATATAGATATTAAAGTATTTTCAAAAAATCTTTAATATAGATGTATTAACACATAAGGTCTAGTGGTCATTTTAAAATGACTAAATTATTTTGAAATACCTTCAATTGGTATAGAGATCTAAATAACTTTTTTTTGTGGGGCTCTCGCCGGCAGCCGGGGTACGAAGCGGAGCTGTAGAGGCTGACGGGCAGCCTCGCAGCCCAGCGCTCAACCGCTGCGCCACCAGGGGAGGCCCGACATCTAAATATCTTGACATGGTATCTAAACACCTGTGATTTCTTGGTGCCACAGGTGCTGCTATTATTATTGTCAGTTGTTACCTATGTTTGTAATTAAAGGAAATGCTGTTTTTCAGGTCAAATGTTAGTGAAAATAAAGACTTAATTTTTTTTTTTCCCAACTAAATTTACTGAACTCCTGTTTGAGGATGTCTACTTTTACTTTGTCATTTTAAGAGTAAAAAAGTTTGTTTGCTTGTTCAATTCTAAATTACTGGGGCTTACTTTACTGCCTCTATGTGCTTTTTATACTTGAGTTGTTTTGCTTTGTTGGAACAGCAGTGATTGAAGGTTTGGGTGGAAAGAAATCAGCAATTGATTAGAAATGAGAGGTTTCGGCTTCCCCTGGTGGCGCAGCGGTTGAGAGCTGGGCTGCGAGGCTGCCAGCAGCCTCTGCAGCGCCAGTTCGTTCCCGGCTGCCGGCGAGGGTCCCACAAAAAAAAAAGAAAGAAAGAAACGAGAGGTTTCAACAAAAGTTCTTGATAATGTTACCTCAAGACATACCAACCATCAGGCAGTCATAATTGGAGCCCCACATCTGTTAATTTCTTAAGTATGTAAATTTCAATAAAATTTGGATCTTCTGCATTAAGCAACATTATAATGCTATCCTGTAAATGCATGTTTTGATATTTCATGATGCAGTTTGCTGATTCCCCATGACTCCTGTAAAGCCCTTTATAGTTTGCTGATCCCCCATGACTTCTACCAAACCCTTTATAGTGCTCTGTTACCTTCAAGGGTTCTTACAACATCCCTCTAGGAGATGTTAAACCCCATCTCCATTTTAGAGTTGAGGAAACAGTTTCAGAGAAGAGACAGCCAGTCAGTGCTGCCAGAGTTGTGGACAGCATGCGGGAAGAGTTTAAAGGCTGAGTCAGGACCAGGCCTCACACTAGGCAAGTCTGGAGGCAGATGGCTCAGTGTCCTGGGTCCATCTGATTGTGGTGCCCACTTAGCATTCTCCAACCCAACCTAGACTAAGAAGCAGTCCCAGCCTAAGGCAGACCAGGGGTTCCAGTTCTCAGCCAATGACCAGCAAATCAGTATCCCAGTTCCCTTATTGTCAGATAACTGGCTCCTTTCTTGGCTTGCAGAATTTCTAGCAGAAGTTCCACTTGCCCACAGTGGGAACTTCTTGAGAACACACCTTTTATTGGATCCTTCTGTCCCTGTCTCTCATCTCTCACTCCCTGCCAGGTGTTTCCTAGGCTCACTTCTAGTTAAATCTGTAGTTGACCCCTGAACAGTCTGGGGTTAGGAACTCTGACCCCATGCATTTGAAAATCCACGTGTAGTTTTTGACTCCCCCAAAGCTTCACTACTAATAGCCTGTTGTTGACTTGAAGCCTTTCCAATAACATAAATGGTCAATTAATACATATTTTTTATGTTATATGTGTTTGAGGCTATATTCTTACTTTATTTAGTAAGCTAGAGAAAAGGAAATGTTATTAAGAAAATCATAAAGAAGGGAAAAGGCATTTACAAAGCTGGACCATATTTAGCAATACTGTCTGCTTTTAAGATGAACCATGTGTCAGTACCCTACATCACTATTGCCTCATGTGATACAAAACACTGTTTTGTAGATGTTTTACATGTTATTAATATGAGATATCAAAAATGACATGAAAAGGAAATTTAATTCATTGACATTTATTGAACAAATTTGAGTATATGTGGACCCTCCCAGTTCAAACCCATGTTGTTCACAGGTCAGTATATTTGCCTTGAAATCTGGTCTTTGGATCTGATTATGGGGAGACCCAAACCAAGACACCCTCTTCATCTGGTCTAGCCTCAGGGAACTGAGGCTCAGAGAGGGAAGTGACTGACAAGGGTCCTCATGAGAACCCACCCTCCTGACTTGGGGTAAGCCCTTCCTCCTGCTGCTGCCTTCTAGGATCCATCTAACGCATCCATCTAATGCATCCCCACTCATTGGATGGGATGGTTATATCCCAAAGACAAAAATAAAGGCCAGCCACAGGGCAGCCAACCAGAGGAATCAGAGGCAGACTGCAGAGGGACTCTCTCTGGAACCCCTTAATTCATTTCTAGAGATGGACACACCTCTCTGTCTCTTGGTCTCTCTGTCTCTCTCTCTTTCTCTCTCTCTCTCCCTCCCCCCTGCTCCCCTCGGAGAGAACAGGGGGGGAAGGGGACTGCAACCTGCTGGATGGGCAGGTAGAAGGGGTTAGCCAGGTAAGCAACCTGCTGTGCCCCTCCCCCATCATAGACGCCATTTCTGGAAAAATCACAATGTTCATGGCCACTTTTTTTAAGACAATAATTAAAAACGATATTTGCTTTCAAATTTTTGTGGTAAATGTGTATTTCTTATTCGAACAGAAGGCCATCGATGAGAAATGACCCCTGCTTTTTAGCCACTGAAATATTAATTCTGTCTGATATTCCTGTGGCTGGGAAGCCTGAGAGCCTTCAGTCTCATCACTGATATGGAGAAAAAAAGCCATCCTGAAATGTTCCTAGATTCAAACCTCTCTCCTGCTCCCTATTGTGTAATTTGGGGGACAGTTTCTTCCTCTCAGAACCTCAGACACTTAGATGGGAAGGAGAGCAGCTGAAGGGTTATTGTGAGACCGTGGGGAAGGCCAGCAGGAGCCAGGCCCTCCCACACCTCTCCTTGGCTGGAAGCAGCCAGGACACTGCCCCCAGGGAGGGTGTGGCCACCTGTCCAGCTCCTCCTCTGGCTGCCCTGGTGACCAGGCAGGGCACCCTCGAGGAATTCCAGGCCCCAGCGTTTGGAGACTGGAGCTGGTTGCTGGAGACATGAACAAGATCTTCCCCCAGGTAAGAGTCGTGTTGAGTGCCCCCTCACTTGGGGGAGCCAGCCCTGGGGTAAGGAGAGGGCAGCAAACAGGGAAGATCTGTGCGTACCAGAGCCACCCAGGTGACTGCCCCCCTGCTCCCGAGGCTCTCTCCTAGGCTCCAAGGAGCTCGACGGGTGAGCCAGCGATCCAGTTGGGTGGTGAGTTATAGAGAAAGTTGGAACCCTGGGGAGGGAGCAATGGTGCCTTAGGGAAAGGCTCTCTGAGGAGGAGGAGCCCCTGAGCTGTCTTGAAGGACATACGTTTGTCAAATGTCCAGTGGGGGAGGCATTCCAGGCAGAGGGCGTGGTACAGGCGAGGGTGTAGAGACATGAACCGGGCATAATGAGTGTGGGGTGTTCAACAAAGCTGGAATATGAGGGACCAGGGTTCCACCTAAGGCTCTCCTTCTGAAAAACTCTTCAGTCCGGCTCCCCAAGACTGGGTCTCCCCCACCTAAGCCCACCCCTCGCTCTGTTTTCTTGGCAGGGGGATGTCAATGGCAGCGCTACTGCCGGAACGAAAGTGCTTCCCGGAGAGGAAGGTAAAGAATGAGGCCTGGGGGTCACTGCCTGCTCCTCCCACCCCCAGGAGGTCCCTGGCGACTGGGCCCTTGGCTACAGAGGCCAAAGGAGAGCTCCTGAGACTTTTCCCTGTCCTGGCCCCTTGTCCCTCAGGCATCTGTCCTCTACTGATGTCTTCTTTTTCCAGCTGCCTGGAGAGTCCCTTGCTCGATAGGGTTGTTCATTTCTCTATGCACAAGCATTTGTTGAGCACCTAGTACGCGCGGCCTACCTCCTGGCACTTGGCTCCATGCAGTGCCCACCTGTAACCTATAAAAGAGAGAGCTCTAGGCCTGACTCTGGGCCATGTGGGTATACTTTTTGCCTGTGAGGGATAAAGGAGGCCAGAGCACACATTTATTTAGCAGCTAAATAAGGTGAGTCACTGGGGTGCAAGCAGGATTTGTGAAATCAAAGAAGGAAGAACACACATATATTGAGCCTGTACCCTGTGTTGGCCCACACCTGACCACCGAGGAGGCAGACCCTGAGAGGTGGATGGTAGCAGTCATACATATCTTCTGAGAGATGCGTCGTCAGGGATTGTGTCACGCAAACATCACAGAGCACAACTACACGAACCAAGGTGGTCTAACCTATCACATGCCTAGGCGTGATGGTGGCAGCTCTGGGGCCACCATGGAATCTGCTGTCCATCCTTGACTGAAACATCATTAAGCAACGCATGACTATAACTCTTAAGAGAGCAAGCCCCTACTATGTGCCAAGCATTGTATGGTCTCTGAATCCTCAGAACAGCTCTGAGAGCAGGGTCTTGTTAGGAGGTGATAACAGATGAGGCACCTGAGGCTGAAAAAGTTTGGGAAACTCAATCAAGCAGGGACCCACAGCCTGGAGGGGGAGAGTCAAGACCCAAATGTGAACTGGGGCCCCCAGGTTGCAAAGCCACAGTGCCTCAGTTGCTCCACACCGGTGTGTGTTTATTTCCTGGCTCAGGGAGGGTGTGGTTGTGAAAGGAGAAGCTTCCTTTCTCATTTGGGAGGGGAGTCTCTCCTGGGGTGCTTCAGCCTGTGATGCATAAATATTTGCACAGGGACTGCTTGACTGACCAGGATGTCTCTCCTGGCTGGCCTCAGCCTGTCTCCCTGGTTACTGGAGTTTATCTTGTGTTTGCCAATGAAGGAGCGGGGGGCTGGTGGGCAAAAGCTCACAGCCACAGAGCTGGCAGGCATGAGCTCAGCTACAGAGCTGGCAGGCTTGAGCAGGCAGCCACAGGAGAGGTGTGGGGAAAGAACAGTGCTTGTGGTCGCTTCACACCTCTGGGTGACAAAAGGGGGCCATGAAACAAAGTAGGGCAGCGAAAAGTACCCCAAAGTAGAAAAAAAGGCCCCAGGAGCTTTTAAGAGCCGTGGAGAGTTCCCAACATCACGTACAAAAAGGAAACCAACACCCAGCTAGGGGCTCCTCCCTTGGCCTCCCTCCTGCTGTCAGGAGTCTTGCTTGCAATAGACCTGAGCTCACTGGCCTTTAGTCCAGTGATTATTCCTCAATTGCTAGAACACAAGAACCCAGCCGATCAGCAACACCAACAAGGGAGTCGCCTACTGGCTGTAGGGATTATTGATCTTATATTTATGCTGCATCTCCTACTACAGCCTCTTCTCCCGACACACACCCAATCCCGGCTCCAGCCTCACCAAACCACTTCTTTCATTATTTTATGAGTAAGAAAAAATTAAAGGAGAAATGTTTAAGGAGCAGAGCGCTCTTTTCACAATGCTTAGGATACAGCTTGGCACATAGTAGGTGCTCAATAAACAGTAGCTACAACCTTATGTAACTTGCTGTGTACCAGGGGCTATGCTGGTACAGTAACTAGCTTATCCCCTTGGCAGCTCTAAGGTATGGCCTCCATTTATTATCCACCTGAGGAAACAGGCACAGGAAGCACACCTCCCAGGTGCTGATCTGGGAAGTGGCAGAGCCAGCTCCTGAATGGACAATCAACTGGCATAGTGGAAAGGGCATTGTTTTGACAATGGGTCTTTTCTTCTCTGAGCCTCAGTTTCCTCATCTGTAAAATAAAGGGTCTTGAATGTCTATGAAGGGCCTGCTTTAGTCTAGCCCACAATAGGGGCCTGATAGGCAGGTGTCCATATGTCCTTGTCTCCTGGGGGACGGCCTCATGGAAGGACAGAAGGTGCGGTTGGGGGACCCTCATTCCAACTGCCACTCACCAGCTAGTACAGGCCAGGGACGGGCATTTGGTGGGGGGGTGGGGGGCGGTCATCCAAGGGAGAAGAATCCAGAGCATCAGGAAGGGCTGAAGAGTCCCCTCCTGCAGCGAAGTCCTTCCTGTCCCAGACCCCCAGGTAAGGAGGAATCACTCAGACGAGTCAGGGGAAGGGGACCCGAGGACCCCATTGCTGGCTGCCCCATGACTAGTTTCCTGCCCTGCACTGCAGGCTGCAGCCGCCTCTGCTGCTCACGTCAAGGGACCTGCCTCTCGGCCTCTGTGCTGGTTCTGTTGGCAGCTCTTGCAGCCCTGATCACGCTGGTCACCATCTTTGGACCCCCACCCCGTGCACCAGGTCAGAGGGGGGGGTGTGGTCAAGAGAGGGTGCTGGGGGGGTGAAGGGAACAGAGAGATGGGAGAAGCCTGGCGCTGCCTGGCTTCTCCATGAAGTGACTTTTGGATAATTCCTTAGCGTGTGTGCGCAGACAGGCCCCCACACGGACTATCTCTGAGCCCCACGCATCTGTAACATGAGCTATTGAGAGGACCCAGCTCTGATGTCACTGTCCCCCCGCCCACCGCCCGGAAACCTTCCCTGATGCCTGGGCAGGGTCATGAGCCTCATCTCAGCTCCTGCAGCTCCCTGACTTCCTCTTCCTTGAGACTGGTTGAGTCCATCCTTCTGTGTTTCTGCCTTGACCGCAGAGAACATGGACGTCCCCCCCATGCCTGCTCAGGGGCAGAGCTCAGCATGGTTCCTGCCTTCATGGCGCTAAACATTTGGACAGCAACAGAGATTAATCAAATAGGCGCGTGCATACAGGGCTAATGGGGCTCCGAGGATCTGGACAGGCTCTGACCTAGTCTAGGAGTCAGGTGGGTACTTTGAGAAGCCTAAGGGGACTGAGGCTTGATGGGGAAGTGGGAATTGGCTAGTGGAGGGGGTAGCAGGAGGAGCATCCCAGACACAGGGAACATGTTCAGGGCCCCTAAGGTGGCGGGTCACAAGGAGAGAAATGAGAGCTCCAGTGGACAGGAAGCATGGAGCAGGGTAGGGGCAGATGCCCGGGGCGCAAAGGCTGCCCTGGTCACCATTCGAGAGCCATGGGAGGAGGTAAGCTGGGAGCAGGTGTCCGCAGATCTGCCATTCTGAGAGATGGCTCTGCCGTCAGCTGTGGGGAAGAATGGAACAAGGTAGGGTTGAGGGAAGAATCCACCTCTTGGTGCCCGCGCAGGGACGTGGGCACTGAAGGTTGGTGTGGACACGTGAGGAACTGCATTCGTGTGCCTGTGTGTCTGCACACGCGTGTCTGTGTACCTATGTTAATGTGTGTCTCTGGGTACGTGTGTTTGCAGGGTGCCTATGTGTGCCTGTGCATGCACATGCATGTCTTGTTTCTGTGTGCATGTGTGTGCGGCCCGTGTATGTGCATCCATGTGTGTATATTTATGTTTGTGCAAGGCAATGAGAGTGACTGTTGGTCCCCCTCACATTCCTCCTTCCTGTCCCCAGGCCCCCAGGTAAGGAGGATCATCACTGAGGCCGAGGCTATTCTAGGAGCTGAAATGTGGTTCCCATGTGCACAAACACAGATACAAACCCACTCCCATGTGCTACCTGCACACAGCTATGTACACACGCGCAGTCTGTGGGGCCAGGGTGACCTCCCACTTCATCTGCCAATTTCTCTCCTTTAGTCCTTTGGAGCAGCCCAAGGGGTGTGTGTTCCCCTGAGCTCAGAAAGGAAGGAAGACCCTCAGACAGAAAGGAAGACACTCCGAGGGCTGCCCACCTTTTTGGGCATGGGGGAGGCAGCCCAGCCTTGGGGAAGGGCAGAGTCAGCAAGCTGGGATTACTGGCTATGTGCCAGGTCTGTCAAACCTCTCTCAAGTCCTACTTTCCCATCTAGAATATGGGGAAACAATAGAATGAAAGTGTGAACATGCTTTGCAGACTGTAAAGTTGTGCCCAGGTATAAGGGACTATAATGGTGCCCAGCCAGCTCCAATACATGGTTTCTGACACCCAATCTGGCACCAGAAACGCCACCATTAGAACCACTTCCTTGAGCTGAGCTTGTCCTCTGGAGTTTCCCAGGAGACAGTCAAAAAGCTTTCTAGTAAAGGAGGGAAGGGGGCTTGGCTCACCCCCTGCACCCACGTTCTAGGATTGTCTGTGCAGAGGCTTGTGTATGATCTATGTCGTCTCATTCTGTCCCGCGGGATGTGCACTCGGCTCCTCCTTTGCCCCCAAGGCATCTCAGACTCAGAGAGCATGGTTGTCCGCCCAAATTCATGAAACTGGCCAGCAGTGGAGCCGGAACTTGGAGCCCATCTCCAGCACCCAGCCCACCACCTCTCCTCTGGCCCCACCCCCCTATCTGCTTAGGGTGGGATGTGGGTATGAAAACTTGGGAGACCCTTGTGAGTGTCACTCTTGACCCTCTGGGGCCTCCTCTGCCTACTCAGGGGCCCAGGCCTGCATGACACTGACGAACAGGACAGGTTTCTTGTGCCATGACCGGAGGAGCTGCATCCCAGCCAGTGGGGTCTGTGACGGCGTCCGCACCTGTGCCCACGGCGAGGACGAGGATGAGGCTTTGTGCCGTGAGTACTTATCACTGTCCCAAATGAACCTCCATGCTGACTCCAACTCTACCTGCAGCCATATTGAAGTTCAACTGTTCGGGAACATTCCAGGCACCTTCATACCCCCAGGTCTTTGCTTAGATGGCAGTGCCCTCAGCCAGGAACATCTGCCCCCATGCTGTCCCAGTCACATGCATACATCACGCCCACATTAGGGAACACCTTCACTATCTCCATCTCCACACTCAGAGAAACTGTATTCATCCTTCAAGGCAGAGTTCAAGTGTCACCTCCTCCAGGAAGACTTTCCTGACTCCCAGAGTAGACTAAGGTCCCTCTTTTGGGCTCCCACATTTCTTGTGCTTCCATGTGTCTCAGCAGCAGTTACAGTGACTGTCACTCTTGGTTAGCACATTTGCCACAATTCAGACTGTGAACTCCTCTGGGACGGTACTGATCTGCTTGATCTTGGCGTCCCAGTGCCTGGCACAGGACATGGCAGAGGGGTGTATGGGATGATTTGCTAAGCAAATGACTGAGTGAGTAAATGAGTAAATGAATGAATGAGAAGAGCGAGTCCCAGATCAGAGAGACTTGACAGCTCTCAGGAGAGAGGCGGGAGTAGGTAGTTTTTGTACGATGGAGAGAGCTTGGTGAGTTAGAAGGTGGTATGGGGCTGCTGATGGGAGAAGGATCACTGCACCATGGACCCTCAAAACTAGATCTTAAAGCCATCTAGTCCATGTCCCAGCTCATACCCAAATTCTCTCTATGACAAAATCCAATACAGGCCACCCAGCCTCTGCTGGCAGACTCCGGACAGGAAGCTCGCCACAACCTGAGGCAGCTGCTCCTGCCACTGAATGGGTTTTCACTGGGAATGTTCTTTGTACTGAAATCACGGCTGCCTCCCAGAAGCATCCTTGACAGGTTCCAACTCTGTCCTCTCCTCAACCTGCCCCCCACGGACCACGTTTTAATCTATCTCCCAGGATGAAGGTGCTGCAGGGGTTTGGAAACTGCTTCATTTCCACCCTCCAGCAGTATCTCCTGCCCCTGGCCACACTTGGAACTTTCACAGTCATCCCCTTGAGACTGGTCTTCCCACTCCACATACCAGTGCCGGCCCACTCCCTGGAGAGGCCAGAAGCTGCCCTGACTCTTCTGGCTGGCTCTGACCAGTCCAAGGAACAATGGCTGGTCCCTCCCAGGGACTCCTCCCCAGGAAATCTTCTCCAGAGCCTTTCCTGGGGATGATGGGCAGTGAGCCCAAGCTTGGCCAGTACAATTCACCTCCAGACAGCCCTGAGACAGCCGCGGCCAGAGAGAGACTTCTTCCTGCCTCATCTGTCCTTCTGCAGGTGATGTGCCCCAGAGCCTCCCCAGCTTCCTCGTGGCCCTCTGTGGGGACCCAGCTTCCTGGATCTATTCAGACCAAAAGTGTGATGGGACCAACAACTGTGGGGATTGTTCTGATGAACGGAGCCCAGGTGGGTGTCTGGGCACAGGCTGGGCTGAGACAGGTGACCAGAGGTTGACCAGGAATTCTCTGGGGTCCCCCTAGCATCCCCTCCTTATATCCTGTGGAGAAGTTGTCTACCCCCACCTGATTACTTCCAGCAGCCAGGTGCTTGCTGTTGTATCAGCTTCTAAAGGGTCATTTTTCTGTGGTGGGAACCATACCTTCCAGGGTACAGATAAGAAAAGTGGGGCCCAGAGGCTCATGCAAGTATACACATGGCCTATCTCAGGGTTCCCTCATCATTTCTGTCTACAATTCTATGAGAAAAGCAGAAGAGGAATCGCTGACTCCTAATCGCTGACAGGAGGCGGACCTAATACAATGCATGATAGGAAGGGAGTTTGGGTCCAGATCTCCTGACCCGCAGTCCAGAGGCCTTTCATTGTCCTGGTTTCCTTTCCAACCCGTCCCCAGTGTTCAATCAACAACATGTTCTCAGCCCATTTGGGTGGACTGGGCCTGTGTCGGGCTCTGTTAGGAGGCAGCTAGCAGTGAAACCTGTGTGCTCCCCCCAGGACTCACATCATGTGATGTCAAGAGGAAGTTCTAGGGACCTGGGTTTTGGTTTTGGTTTTGGCAGGAGGTGGTGAGGGGGATTAAGATCAAGGGAGACTTCTTAGAAGAGGCAGTTTTCAAGTAGACCTTAGAGAATGGACATGATTTCACCAGGAAGAGACTGGGTGTGCAGGGGAGAATTCTGGAGGCCAGGGGCCGGGGCAGAGGAGGGAAGCCTGTGAGGTGCCCTCAGGGATTGGGAAGCGGCCTCCTGTGGCTGAGTCAGGGGAGGGAGGGAGGACAGGCTGTGTGGGACAATCGCATCTATTAATATGTGAGCCTGGGCCACCTCTAGCACTTGGCCTATCTTCCTCCATTTACTTAGTAACAACCATGAGCAGATGAGGAAACTAAGGCTCAAACACAATGAGAAGCTTGTTTGAGGTCATACAATCTTGGAATTGGGACATCTCGAGTCTCCCATAGGAAACTGAGAATAGTCAACCCATGTCAGATGGGGTAGTGTTCTGGGAAGCCATGGAGGTTTCAGGCAAGAGGTAGCCTGGTGCACAGGGCCTCTGAGGACACAGCAGCTGTACTTCTCCGGGCTCTTGTCTCCTCAGTGACAGCATGCCCACCCTGCGGCCCTGGGTGGTGGCGCTGCCCCTCCATCATCTTCAAGTATTGTGACTGTATCCCGAGGAGCCTCTGTGGGGACCGCGTGCAGCACTGTTCCGACTGGTCTGACGAGTACTCCTGTCCTGGACCCTAAGTGGGCCGCCCAGTCCAGAGCGGAGGGCGGGTTGCAACGGCGCTAATCGCCTTTCATCTGAGCATCGAATCTGCGAACACAGCGCAAAAAGCCTTTGAGATCATCTAGTGGGACCTATGTACCATCGTCTATGAATAGACAACTTTCAGTTGTCCAGTCCCTGCCTGAGCGTCTCCAGTGACAGGGAACTGTCTACCATGTCAGACAACTCCTAACAAAGATGAGGGGAACCTGCTGTGACCCCACAGAGCAGATCTGGTCCTCTGCTTGGATCTGTAGGTCCTGACCTTGTCGCCCCTTGAGTCTAGAGCTCACCCAGCTAAGGAATTTAACCCTTATGAATGACACATGGGAAGTGTATTACACTTCCCACCCCTTTGATACCTAAGGCCAACATTGCTGTGCTTGGGTGCAGCCTTAGCATTTTCCTCAACACAGTAATCCTGGCCTACTGGTCAACCCTACTGACAACTCACATGAGATTGCACCTGAGGTGGATTATTTGTCATCCTGCCGGTGGGAAACCACTCCAGAAGGCTCTGAGCTGCTGCATAGACAGTCTAGAAAAAGAGTAGCCCAAAGGGTTCCTGATGATCCTTCTGTCCATTCCATTCTCCACCATGCCACTCCTCCTCCTCCACCCCGTGACCAGCTGCCCAGCCAAACAACTCAGATGTCTGGAAAGAAATATTGTGTTTTGGTACTAGAGCTTGAGTGAAATAGCCGTTCTTCTGCAGGTCTCCCCAGTTTCACAACACGCAGACAGGCAAGGATGGATAGCCCATTAAACAGATGAGGAAAAGGAGACCTAGACATAGAAAAAATTTCCCTGGATCATGTGGCAAAGTCAGAGCTGGAGCTGGGACTCAGGCACGCCTATGGTGTGTACAATCAACCCCAAAGCCTTTCCTGCTACCAGCGTGATTATACCTAGCAGGGTAGAGTCTCTGTGGGGTTAAGAAGGGAGTTTGAGGATCAGAAAGCATCCCACTCTTATTCTGAAAGGGACACTAGGAATCTGAGTGTTCCTGTTGAAAGACAGGCTGAGCCCCAGTGGAAATCAATAATCAATAAAATTGGTTTCATGTGTGAGCCTCTTGCGAGTTTTGAACTGAAATGGGCATCTGAGAGACAAGTAATGGTAACATCCATTCATTCACTCACTGAACAGGGCCTTGCTCCTGCACAGGGCCAAGCCATGTGACCTTGGTTGTTCAGAGCTGGATCCCAGGACACAAGGAATACCTAGGATGGGGGGCAGGGAGGGAGAGGTGGAATGACAGGAAATCCTGGGATGAAAGCACCCAGAAGGGGCCTTCAGCAGTGTAGGGTAAGGTAAAAAGTATCAGGCTTTTCTGCCCTTCCACCATGAGGATAGATGACGGATCCCTGCGGTCCCGAATGCATGCCTGATGGCGGGCACCTGGAGTGGGTGTGGGCCTAGGTATATGGGATTCACCTGGGCTAAGACTGGGCTTTAAGGGCGGCATCACGGAGACTCCAGCAGGAGCAGAGAAGCCGAGAGAGAAGCAGAGCCATGAGAAGAGCAGAGAGAACGTGAGAGAAGGCCGGAGAGCCCAGAGTGAAGACTTGCTGGCGGCTGGGAGGCCCCTGCCTGCCGTGTACCTGGTAATCCCAATAAAGGCCTGCAAAAGCCTCCGAGGGCTCCAGGACTCTCTCCTCCTTTACTCCATCTGCTGGATCAGAACACCTGCTCTGTACCCATTCCTGCCCCTTACAGGCATCCAGGACACAATAACATGTCTGACTGAAGGCCTGAAGACCAGCTCCTGGTCTGGGGAGCCGCTGGCATCATCCCCTGGCAGTCTGCCCAGGTGTGACCTCTTTAGCTGTTTCTCTCCACTCACTGCACAGTGAGGCGTGCTCAGGGCAGCCTCAGCTCTGACCACCGAGCAAGAGGTGCCCTCTTTACCAGAGAAGGGGCATTTGAGTAGGTGAATTTCCAAGGAAGAGAGGGGCATCCCAGTTGAGGGACTTGTGAAGGAAGGTATGGGACCATCCATGACCAGCTCAGCCAAGGAAGGCTGCAGGTCACACTTCCGCCTCAGGCAGTGGTATCAGCAAAACAAGGACACCTTGTGAGCCACAATGACCTTTGATTACCACAGTCCCAGGAAGAGATGCCACCTTTGGACCAAGTGGGTTGAGTAGAGAGGCACGTCAAGGGTGAGTTACCGCTGGAACACATGAGCCTTAGGGCCCTATGGGGGAGAGGTGGGATGGGGTAGAGGGGCACCCAGAGGAGCAGGAGGCACCTGACCTTTCAGCTCAGGCCATGCCTTCTCCAACAGGACACAGGTCCCCAGGGAAAGAGAGGGTTGAACTCGTTCCCTGAAGAACAAGAAAAGGTATCTAGAGACCCTTTCTGGCACTCACATGCCAGTATGTTCCAGAAGCCCTGAGTGCGGGTTGTTGAAACAACGCTGCTGGGGAAAGGCTGTGGGAAGAGGTGCTCACAGCCCAGTTTCCAGCAGGGCCGTGTGGTGCAGCGTTGGGCCCTCAGGAGAGAAGCAGGCAGACCTCAGTGGTCATCCAGTCCTGGGCCTCTTGAGTGCCTGCAACTCAAACAAATGCCTAGAGGTACCAGCACCAGTAGCATTTTACCCTGCTCCCCAGTTGAGCCCATCCATGGCCCCGGGGAGTCAAGGTGCTTCATTTTACTGGATGAAGGAACCCAGCCTGAGACAAACTCGAGTCCATGTCCGCTCAGGATGCCAGCAGTGGGTAAGGACTAAAAGCCTTCTCCTCCGTGTAAGCAGTGAGTACCTGGCAGGTGCTGACTATGAGCCGGGCACTGCGCTCAGCAGGAGCACTACCTTCATCCTTGCTGTAACGAGGCTCTGCGGGAGGCTTTGGGAGGCCAGGCAGCTGTTGAAGAGTGTGTGACTGGTGAGGGCAATGGTGGCTGGGCACTTAGCCATGGCAGCTTGGTTTTAAGCTGTGTCTCATGAGGTCTGGAGGCTTCTAATGATGGTGATGCCTCAGCAGGGATGTGAAGGGGGTTGAATGAACCTGGTGGAAAATAAGGACTGAGCTGTAGGGTAAATAAAAAGTATCAGGCTTTTTGTTCTGTTCCCTGCTCTGTCTCTGGTGAATTCCCTCACCCTCCCGTGCATCTGGCCTGTACCCCGGTTCTTGTATAAATAAAAATTTTTTTAAAAATCAGGCTTTTCTGCCCTCCCGCCATTAGGATTGATGAGGGATCCCTGTGGTCCCGAACGCATGCCTGATGGCGGGCATCTGGGATAGGGTGTGGGCAGGCGTAAGTGGGTACACCTGGGCTGAGAGGGGTTGTCACGGGGACGCCAGCAGAACCACGAGAAGAACCACAAGAGAAGCAGAGAGAACGCCAGAGAGCCCAGACAGAGTGAAGACTTGCTGAGGGCTGGGAAGCCTGCCAGCCTCCCGGCCCCCCCGCACTCCTGCCTGCCGTGTACCTGGTAAATCCCAGTAAGAGCCTGCAAAAGCCAGTGAGGGCTCCAGGACTCCTCCTTTACCCCTTCTGCTCGGATCATAGAAAACCTGCCCTGTATCATCCTGCCCTTACAGAGCAGTCCAGGTTGAAGAACTTCAGGGTGTGGGGCAGGGAGGGCTCCAGCCAAGTGCTCATGGGCTGTGAAGTAGTGGCTTGGCCTGGAGCTTGAGGAAAGCCTGGGATTCTGGGCTGCAGAGAGTGAGTGTGATTTTGGGCCGGGGTGCTAGTAGAGGTTTCCAGCAAGAGGAACACATTGGATTCCTCCTTCCAAGGAAGAAGGCTTTCCTCCTCATTAGGAATAAGGATGTCACGGCCAGACTACCTTGCAGGATTATTGAGAGGAAAAACCAGATGCAGAATGTGACCAACAATTGGAAGCCTTAAAACTTCAAGTAGAAGAAAGGGCAGTGTCAGGCACTGTGTGGGCTTTAACTAATATCTACAGTCCACAATTAGTGTTTCGGACATGCCAAGTGCTATGGTGAGCTTTTCTATGTCTTGTCTCCTGTATCTCATTTTCTCTAGTCTTCAACATTATTCTAGAAACCTGATTCGGTTATTCACACAAACTGCTTGTCTAAGTTTTTATATGACAGAGTTTTTAAATGATGGAGCCACGACCAAACCTTGATAGGCCCAAGTCCAAAGCCCAACACATACCCTCCTTGATGTCTCAAATTCACCAGCCAGGACTGACTACCCTGGAAGAGAAAGCTGGAGCCCAGACCAGGGGAGCAGACAGAACAGGTTTGTTCTTTTTGTGTTTATTGGCTCTTCCTCTCAGAAGGAAGCAGACACCATAGCAACCTCCCAACAGCTCTGCATAGCTGGGCCCAGAAAGACACAGAGCCCAGGGCAGCCAGCCAGGCCCCTCCTCGTTTCACCTCAGCAGAGCAGGGGATTTAATGCCACGGCCTGTAGTGAGAACCCAGGCCGCCAGCGTCAATATTTGCCATCTTCTGTCCTCCCTGGCCAGGGCTCCAAGATCAGTACTTTAAGTACAACAGGTTCTTTGCTGTGCAAACACACAGGGATAGATTAATGGAATTTAAAGTGGCTCAGGCTTCGTCTCAGAGCTTGAACTGAAAATCTGGTCTGATTTAACTCTCTGCCGTGGCTGTTTACTTGGGGCTCTCCTTTCATCCTTAGACTCACTGTAGCACAGGCGCCAGGGCTGTGTGGAGCTCAGAGCCCACCCAGTCAAGCTTTTGACAAGAGGACACTACTTCCTGGAAAGAGAAGGGACCGGCCCCAAGCTGCACTGACTGGTGACTGTCGCTGGGATTCTGAGGGCCACCTCGCCACTCCAGGTCAAGGTAGAGTGACTTCTCCGAGTGCTTTTTTAAAAAAAATATTTATCGAGGTATGATTAATATACAGTGAAATATACCCATTTTAAGAATATAGTGTGATGAGTTTTTGAAAATAGATTTATTGAGGTTTAACAGACAGAATAAATAAGCCTCACATATTTACAGGGCACATTTTTATTATAAAGTTTTGACATGCGGCTGTACCCATAAATCTATCACAGTTGAGAGTAACTATATCCATCACCTCAACTCTCATTGTGTTTCTTTGTAATCCTTTGCTCTCACCTGTCCTCCATCTTCACTCCCTTAGTGAGACAAGCAGGATCTATTTTCTGTCTTTATAGACTAGAATGCTCTTTTTGAGGATGTTATATAAATGGAAGTAGATGGCGTAAACTCCTGTTTTGCTTGTGGCTTGCTTTCATTCATAATAATTATGAGACTTATCCATGATGCAACCCCACCAATAGCCATTCCTTTTTATTGTTGAGTAATACTCCATTGTATGGATATACCACATTGTACATCCCAGACTGGAGAGATGCACTCTTTATGATTCACATTGCTTTGAAACTAGCGATCGGTTTGGGGGAAAACTGACATCTTTCCAATGTTGAATTTTCTCACCCTGACTACCTCTCCATTTATTTTGTTCTCCTTGAATTTTTCTCAGCAGTGTTTTATAGTTTTCGGCATATAGGTTAGTACATCTTTTATCTGATTTAAACTCATTAATTCTAGTAGATCATTTGGTAAATTCCATCAAATTTTCTACTTACATAAATCATACTCTATATGAGCGAAAACAATTATATTTCTTTCTTTCCAGTTTCAATGTCTTTTATTTATTCTCTTGTCTTATATCAGTAGCCATTTACGATGGTGTACAGAAGGGGTGAGAGCTGACAAATTTGCCTTGTTTCTGAACATGTGTGTATGTGTTTTTGAGCGGATGCACATTTTATTCTATTTTTTTAAAGATTTATTTATTTATGCATACAAGAGCTGGGGTACAGGCCAGAGGTGTGTGTGTGGGGGGGGAGGGGTGGAGATTCACCAGAGACAGAGTGGGGAACAGAACGGGCAGACTGACTGAAATACACTGCTGAGAGGAGCAGCGTGCCAGACAGCAGACGTCTGCTGCACCATGCTTCCTGGCCAAGGGGATTGAACTCATGCTGCAGAAGCTGAGGATAGCTTCACAGCACTGTGCTTAAGCCCTTGCGCCACCAGGGAGGCCCAGATGAACATCTTAATTCCTCCAGGAGTTGATCAT